TTTTCTTAACCGGAAAAAATACAATACTTAGCGCGTTTCATCCGAGCTCACTCCGCAGACGCGAAACAAAAATGCCGTGTGCATGGATAATAAGAATTAAAGTTGGATATATCCTTTCGTATTCGTATATATATATTATCGAATCGGAGCGTATGCTTTAATCCGTGTCAGAGCGTGCATTTGGAGTTCACATTCTATTTATAGCTCTTGCTTTAACGCGATTATTAACGGTAATGATTCCATTAACGCTTAATTGGAAAGGTAGCCAGGTAAGATCGTAAAAAAGCCAATTGCCGAAAAAAAAAGCCTTTGCACAAGCCTTTATGTGAGCCTTAAATTTTCAAAGTTCACGCTCATACCTGTGTCGCGTCGCGATCAAAACGAACACGTTGAGTTTGATTTAAACATGAGCGTGAACATTACATTAATTTAAACTCGCGCTGTGTTTTCGCGGCATATAATTTATGCGCGTAATTATTTCATACATAAACATCATCACTCCGGACGAAAGTTTCTGCAATAAAACTCGACACTGTTAACGCCCCACTTAATATACACAGCAGCGGATGAATGACCTTATAATTTCACGTTACAAAGATATCTGCATAATCTGCTTCTGCATTATATTCCGAAAATAATGTTTAAACATCAGGGAATCGATTTTGTATGAGTTTTACAGCGTTCGATGGCACGAAAACGGTTACATCGTGATGAAACGCGTAGCGATATCGAGAGATGCTCAAGTGCGTTCGCGAAAAGCGTCATTTCCGTGCGCCGGCTCGCAAATCCGCAGCGGATCGGGATTAACGATACGATCGATCCTTATCTTCCCTCGCACTCGAGAGGATTGCCGTTGCGCGTCGCGCAGGACACCCGTGTATCGCAACATCATCGGTCTCTCGGCCCTGCGAGTACATTAACAGCGCTTCGCGAGTAAACGCACCGGCGATCTGTGCTGTTATATCTGTGTACACGGGCAAAGAGCGTATTAATGTTCGCGGCGGGCATATGCCGACTACGCGGAGCGGCGGGCGGTTGATTAGAGCCCCGGTTGTTCATGTCAACACACGAAACGGGCGGAAACGTGGTAACGCCGTGCATCCGTGTGCGCGCGCGCGTTCGAACGGACGACTTTAGTAGTCGACCGACCTGGTGGAATGCCCGTGCGTCAGAGAACGACCTTCCCTCCGCGCGGCTTGCACCGTGTCGAAGAACTTAGCCTGCCATAATGTGGCTTGTGCTGTGGTGAAACGCTTCTATTTCGCGCGCCACCGTGATTCCTCGCGATGCGGGCAGTTCCTACGCATTAGTTGATTTTCGAAAATGTATATATTTTTCTCTTTAATATTCTTTGCAACGTTTTAATCCGTTTTGCATTTCGTAATTGATTAAAATTTGGATCATTTAAAATTTCGCAAATAACTTTGCTGAATGTTTTATATTTTCGGCGCAGAATTATTGTCAATTGCATTTTGTTAATTTTGTTAATTTTATTTACGCTTTACGGAGGCCGCTACAAATTTTCATAGAAATACGCGCGAAAGAAATACATTTTTATCGATTTTTATTTATCTACCTGACTTTTTATGTATGTTTACGGATTTGTGAGCAACAATGTGCGTTTTAGCGTCACATCTAGATCTAGGCTCGTTACACTATTTGTACGCAAATTGTGCAGCCGCTTGAAACGCAGAGACGCGGCGGGCGGACATAAATTATATACATAATAAAATGCAACGTTGCGTATCGCGCAGTATGAAGAAATAATTCGTTACGCCGAAGTCTCTGCGTGATACATAAGAACGCGTTATCGCATCGCATTACTTCGAATAACGTAAGCCGTGACTTGCAAAAAGAACGCAGTGCCAGCCGACAAAGTTTTAAGGTAATATATTTTTTTGCGAGCACTCTCGTGATTATACTCTGTTGGTTTTTTTTTCACATACGCAAGTGATTAAATGTAATTAAGTTTTTATGTCGTTTTCATAATGAGATAGTCTTTAATAATAACAATCGAAATAGCGATATCAACTCGATATAATAGTATCAACAAGCCGTGTCGCAATTCGCAGCTCGAACTTCTTTGCACGCTTATATAATTATTACTTCAGCGGTTTTTCTTCTCAGGCTTAAATATATTCATCCGCGCGTTCGGGGTTTCACAAGCAAACATTGATAAAAAGACAGTTTAGGATGCATAATCATACGTCTATACGTCTATACGCTATAGTGTAGTATACTACTCGATTATGTGGCCATAATGAATTATCATGCGCATATTTCTTGCGAAAGGAACATTATGACATATCTCCGGCAAAAGCCATGGGTTGCGGAATTAAACCCATACATTCTTGCATGCTACGTGACCGTGTAAACAGGAGAAAGGTTTTAATCATAGTGGTCATGCACGATGATAGTGCGCGCGTTCTTGTACAACGCGATATTAACGCCAATCAAAGTACATTTATTTGATTTTTTATGGGCCCCCAGGGTTTTATTGTGCGGCGTGTGAGTCACATGACTTTTTACTTATTTGTCAGAAATAATCGTTGTAATATTTACTAGCAATAACTGTCGAGTGGTTCCGTGGCTTCGAGTGGCGCGTATCTAAAAGCGCTTTAAAATCTGAAAGAATTAAAAATTAAGAATTTAAAATCAACTTTTTGCAATTCGTGCTGTATACGTCATTCATGATCGCGCAGTAAAAAAGACGCCGCAGGGACACGTGTGATTTATGAAGGAATTATTATGTTTATCGAAAAACGTATGTCCGTATTCCGTCGGATCGTTCGCTTTGAAAATAGGTCGAAGATTCTCGCGGAGGATAATCGATATTTGCGATCTTCTGTTCGAACTATTTCTGAAGTGATGGCTCATTTAATAGAGACTTCTGTTAATCTCAATCTGACAAAACACCGTGTCGCTCGGGCACAATGTGCGACTATCTCTAAGAATAATGCGCGTCAGCTGATTCAGTTTGAGTGTATGAATGAACGTGCGGCTTTGCCAACTGTGTGATAGCTCTCATCAATCATGCCTTGGCACATCTTCGCTCGGGATTAAAAAAAAGAAAAGAAAAAAAATAATAATAGACATCGCGTTTACCGTGCAAACGAACTCTCGCGAAACCGATCGTGACCGGGGAACTTCCTTGCGGCGCGCGCGAATTCGATTTATGCGCGCTTCTCGCGGACGCTTTCTTCCTTCCATGATCGGACGGACGGAGGTTTTATTCAATTAATTCGTGTCACCGCGAAACACGCGATCCGACCGCGACGGGAACACGTCCTAGGGGGTTTCAACTCGCAGTTGGCACACGTGCGCAGGTGGAGTGTGGTTTTTGCCAGGCAGTGGTGGTGGTGACGGTGGTGGTGGTAGCAGCAACGGCGGTGGTGGTTTTTTACGCCAACCGCGAGGTCTCTGGTGGCTTTTTTCCTTCTTTTCTTTGGTACCCACCCGTGGCATGGAAGGGACCGACGGCGGCGGCGGCGGCGGCGGCGGACGACAGGGAGGGAGAACGGCGGTTGAGGGGGAAAACGAGAAAAAGAGCGTGCTCTATAGCCTGCGTGTCGGAGAAGGAAAGCGCGCGCTGCCGTCGCGGAAAAAAAGGAAAGAAATAGAGACGGAGAGAAGAGCAAGAGAGAGAAAGAGAAGGGAGAGGGGAGAGAGCGAGAGAGAAAGAGCAATCGGATCGCGGTTCGTTCCTTCCAGCTGGCCTGGCACGACGAAGGAGGCCTTGTCGCGCGGCTGCTCGTTCGGTCAATGTCTTCTCTTTCTTTCTCGCTCTCTCCCTCTTCGCCGATCCTCTTCTCTCTTCTTTCTCTCATCCGTGTCCCCCTCCTATCGTCTCCTCGCGCTCTTTCTCCCTCTTTCTCTCGCTCCCTCTCGTTTCCCCGCTCTCTTTCATCGCTCAACCCCACCAGCAGCACTCCCGTGCTGCATCGCGCACACGAGACACGGGTGCCTGCGAAATCCCTCTGTCATCTTGCGAACGCCCGTCCGCGGCCAGGATTATCCCGCGTCGTGCGCGATCGCGAGAAAGCAGTTTTCGTCGCGCCCGCGTTTCGTCGTCGACGGGGTGAGTCCGCATGGCGATAACCGACACCGCGGAACACCGGTGACGTGAATATCGCGGCCGGAGAAAAGAGTGGCAAAGCGCAGTGCGTTCGGAAATGTGCACTGGTATCGCGGTTTGAAGGCGCGTTTCGACGGTGAGAAGGAGGCGTTCTCTCTCTCGCCCGACTACGTTTCTCGGAGCTTTTTCCGCCGGCGGTCGCGCGCAACAGCGTGAAAGTTCCGTGATCGCTCGCCGCGCGCAACTCTCGGCTAATACGTCGTCGATGACGTTCACGACGTCGTCGTTGTCCACCTCGTCGTCGCAGTAGCCGAGATATTTTCGCGGCGGTATCTCTCCTCCCTTGCGGCCTCTGCGACTCTCGCGGTGTTTACAACATACGTGCAGAGTGCGTTCCACGGTGCGTGCGCGATAGTGCGAAACCCTCGAGCGTGCCATTGGCGAGCGTGGCCCCTCGGCGATGTCGGTATCGTCACCGTGCCGCACTAGAGCAGTATCGCGCGGGCGCGAAGAATGAAACTCGACACCGCGGACTCGTGAACGACGTACTGGCGGCTTCAAGAATTCGATAGCGGCGACGCTTCGCACTTGTCGCGAACTGAGGTGAACATCTCGTGTATTCATAGACTGATTTGAATGCGATTTCGTGATGTCTGATCAACGTTTTTTTCAAACTTGATATTTTAAACCCGACGGCGATTTTTGCATAATTTAATATTTTCTATTTCTATATAAGTGACGAGAATAACAGTGCAATATTTAACAGGATTTTTTAATAATGTAAAATTTAAATTTGGTGAATACAAATATAATTGTGCCCATTTCCACAAACGTCATGCTTATACAATTTTATCATTTTCCACAATAATAAACATAATGTACAACAGCAATGTATTCTTATCTTGTATGTTTTTTCTGCTTTCAGAGTGCAATAAAGTTAGCCGGTAAAAATAATGTCAAGAAACTGCACACATTGCTATCGATAGTGGAAGAGAAGCCAAAGGTGGACACAGGACAGAATAACAGGCACAACGAGCACCACATCAAAAACAATTTCAAGCACAACCATTATACACATAATTCCATACTGACACCCTCGACGTTAAACCAGGTAATTGAGTGATTTTAAGTCAAATCGCATGAAGAATTAATCTTGCTGTTGTACTGTGAGAAATAGTAAGTGATAATGGTTCGTAAAATTCCTTTTGCAGGGCCTAGATGCAGGTACAAGCGACGACAGCGGCAGAGCGTCTGAACAATTGCACGGCCCTGGTATACCTAGGGATTGCCAGGACGCAGACAGTTCCAGGGACCATCTCAGCGATGTGAGCCCATATCAATAATAGCCCTAATCAATACAGTGTTGTAGAATTGTACAGTTACTTGAAATTATTGTGTGATCAAAATGTCGTTCCATAATTCTAAATTTGGACCAATGTTCTGCTTTAAAGTTCAGTTTATTTGAAGTTTACGTCCATGTAATGCTTTTCACATTTTAGTTGCTCAATTTCTAGCTTGAGATTTGTAAACTTTGTTTTTATGTCACACAAATTTTCTCGCTGCTAAATGTTGAAACGATGGAAACATACGAAATGACAGTATTTACAAATCTGTTTTTATAATACAGGCTAGCAGTCATTGCAGTTCGGGTAAAGGTTATATCGTAAGTGTCACATACATTTAATCAATGTAGAGAATGTTAAATTATATTTTTACGTTAAAATAAATGTAGCAAAAAATTGATGATTTATATTTCTTTGTTCCAGTGTGATAGTGAAGGAGAAGACGATAAGGGCTCGGATGCCGAATCGATACTCTTTGAATCTTCTACCCCACCACCTCTTGCACGTAAATGTGAGTGAACGCTTGGAAAAATATGAAATTTCTACAAGTATTTTTATCAAATTTTCACGTACGATACGTTTTCATTTCAGACGAATTGCCGTCTTCTTCGCCACACGTTTTGCCACCCGCAAACGGAGCAGGCGGATCTCCACCGGACACGGGTGGGCAAATTTCTAATCCAGCAACGGATGCTCCGGCACCTATACCACCTCCTGTGCCTGCATCTGCACCAGTTCCAACAGCGCCGAGTCCTCCCAGCCCCACGTTGCCCCCACACATATCCCAGCCTCCTGTAAGTGGTCTTTACGTAGTAAAAAACTCACTCTTCTTCTTTTGTACGCGCCACATGTACGCGCACAGAAGGATAAACGTTGACATAATGTATTGCATTTCAGATGACTAGTCCTTTGGCAGCGAATCCACGTGCAATAGCTCCGCAACAGCGGCCAGCTTCCCCCGCTCTGCCACCACCCTCCCTGTCCCAGCAGCCGCACACTACGATACCTGCATTGCATCCACCTAATGTGCCCCTCGTCTCGTCGAGTCATACAACTAGTCCAGCGGTAGCCAGTTTAGGTGTCACGCCGGCAGCACCATCGAACGGAGCGGCCACCACGAGCTATCCGCCGCCCATTCCCATTGCCGCGTATCCGCAGACGCAGCCGTCGTATCCACCGCTCTACACTCCGTACACCGCTTTAAATCACAGCCCGTACCTCCCTCCCGCGGTACCATCCCCTTCTCACTCCGCCTCGTCGCGCGCGGACGTGGTAAGTTTTGCGCGTCGTGTTGTATCATTGATTTATTTCGCTGATAAATATTGATCTTAAAGCTTAATAAACGAGGGCAATTTGTATTTCAGAGAGGGAGCAGAGCTTCCCCCTGTACCAATATAAGTAAACAGACCATAGGAAATAACCTCGCGAGTCACAATAATACTCCACTGAGCGCTGCCACCACAACATGTGTATCTACTATAACTAATACAGTTACCACGGCAAACTCTATCGCCCATAGAGACATGGTGGCCTGCAGTCTATCCGGACGAAACAATAACTCCCCACGTGGACACAGTCCCAGCCGGGAAAGAGATAGTTACAGGTAGGACATTTTCTTCTCGTCGCAGCGCTGTAGACGCGTTTGTGTCGGCGCTAAACGCTTTCCGAGCACGATTTACGAGAAATCTTTAATCGCGATTGTAATGTTTGTTACAGCAGCAACGTGAGTAGTCTAAGTCGGGGCAGCATAACGCCTGTTAGTGTGCCAAACACCTCGTCTCCAGCCAATTCTAGTCTACCCGCATACACCAAGCCACAAGGTTGGATTAGGTAAGAGTGAGCGGATTTAAAAACTGCTTAAAGTGTATTTAAATGAAAATGAAAATAACGTTTCTTTTTGTTTCTAAAAATAGCAGCAACACAGCTTCTCAATTATCGCCGGCGACAGCTACGTCTGTTCCGAGGCCAACTCCACCACCGGTGCCGCCACTCGGCATGCATACATTTCCACCTCCGATGTTTGCAGCTCCTTTACCGCCACCTGTGTCTAGCTCGAGCCCGCATACTTCACTGCCTTCGCTTCCTCCACCGACGACTAATCCCAATCCGTTCTCCGCGGAGTCTCTTTTCCAAACAAGTAAGTTTATAATCCGATTGCTTTTCGATGCGCTATTGATAGTCGCATGAGTAACGGGCAGATAATAACGCGCTGACCAAAAGAAGGGGTGACACATGTTACAGGTCAAGCAGATCTTTTGAGAAGAGAACTCGATAGCAGGTTCTTAGCGTCTCAGGACAGAAGTGTTGGGGTGGGAAATTTGGGTCCACCGGCGTATCTCCGAACGGAAATGCACCATCATCAGCATCAGCACACGCATGTACATCAACATACGACGCCGTTGTTACCGTCGGCTGCAGCGACAACGCTTTTTCCACCTCCAATTGTAAGAATCATTCTATCTAATAATTGGCAAAAGAATATAAATTCGTGTACAAGAATGATATTAAATGAAGTTATCCTTCAATAGTTCAAGGATATCCCGAAATTGGGGGGAGTCGAGTCGCCATTTTTTCGTGGAAACTTAAACCTTTCTGGTTATTCTGGTTTTAACACTGGCCTTCTTCATCCCGGAATCGGCCCGCCTTCGACGCCCTTTGTGCCACCTAATCATTTAACTACATTTGCGCCAAAGGTACGTTTGCGGAGAAAGTTTGAAACTTTGTGTTCTATAATTCACGCGTATTTAACTAATTGATTTTTTTTTATCGCAGAAAAGTGGAAAATGGAATGCGATGCATGTACGTATCGCGTGGGAAATATACAATCATCAGCAAAAGCAACAGGCTATTGATGCAAAGGCTGCAGGAAATGTCGTTAATACCAAAACTGAGTTATTAAGACCACCGGGGCATCTTTATGCGGGAGGGCCGGGCGGTGGTCTTGGACTCGGCGCACCATCAATGGCACCTCCATTTCCCACTAACATGCCACCCACCCATCCTGCACCACCTCCACCTCATCCTGTCGGTTTTCTGTCTACACCGGCCTCACATTTAGGTAATAGAGGTAACAAAGATTCATATTTATTCACATATGCACGTTCATGTTTTTAATACATCAAAGTGCATTATAATCATAGATGTGTATCGAGAATGCGTGTCGACTAAAACCATCCATTTACATTACAGGAACAGGAATGTCTCCTTTCGGAAGATACCCGTCGACATTTGGCGCGCCGAATCACAATTTCCCGGGTCTTTCAACTTTCCCGCCAAGAGAAATGGGAGGACCTCTGGGTGGACTCGGTTCAGTGCACGATCCATGGCGAGGGTGTGTTGACGTGAAATATTAATCAATTGCGATTTTTTCCATTGCAATTTTTTTTTTCTTCTATTGCATACGTGTACAATTTCAGATTGCAACGCGCTACCACCGGATTTCCACCGACCACTGTTTCGTGGGGTTTGAAGCCGGAACCACCCGCGATAGACAGACGCGCCGAGTTGGAGGAACGGGAGCGCGAACGCGAACGCGAAAGGGAACAACGCGAACGGGAGCGTGAACGTGTCGAACGGGAGCGCGAGCGTATCAGACGCGAGAGGGAAAGGGAGAGGGAGAGAGAAGAGCAGCGCGAGAGAGAAAGACGGGAACGCGAGAAGGAGGAGAAGCGAAAACAGCAGGAGGCAGCGGAGCGGGAGCGAGAGAGGCGGGACAAGGAACGCCGTGAGATGGAGAGACGCGAGATGGAGCGCGAGCGGCTGCTTCATCAGAACCGACAGCACGTGGTCGTCTCCCGCGATCGTTCGCCCCTGAGAAACGGCGCGGCGCCTCTCGACACCGGAGAAATACGCGTGAAGGAAGAGCCGCGCAGCAAAGACGACGAAGTCGTGATGCTCCCACGACCGCCGGTACCCGCGCCCGGAGCGACAGGGCCCGCGCAAGGACCTGGACCAAATCCACTGCCCGACCCGAGGTATCACCATCCGCATCCGCATGCCTATCTCACGAGGCATCCGCACAGTATGCAAGCCTCGCATTCCATGCCGCGCAGCATGCTTCCGAGTCTGAGCGCACATCAGATGCAACACTTTCCACCGCCATCCGGGCCCACCGGCCAGCCGGGGGCCCCTTGGCCGGGCGATCCCTTCCGCGATTACCGGTACGATCCGTTGCAACAGTTACGGTACAATCCGTTGATGGCGGCGTTCAGAGCGGAGGAGGAGGAGAGGGCGAAGCTGTACGCCAGTTATCCTCCGCCGCCGGTGAACGCTCTGAGGAGTAAAGATCCTAGTCCGGGTCCGCTCAGCAATTTGCATATGCATCATAGGGCGGGGCCCGGTCCGGGAGTGCCAGCGCGCCCCCTCGAAAACGCCCTCATGCACGCGGACATTCACAAGAAGGAGGATGGACCACAGTCCCGATGATACATCGTCCCGGCATCCTCGAGCGAACGCACCAACGGACCGACACTCTGAGCCCCCAACGCCTCCCGCAACGCTCGGAACCCGGTGCTGATATTTTGCTAACAGAGAAGAAGCGTTATTTAAAAAGAAAACAAAGTGTATATAGATATTATATATATATAATATTTATAGTTATCGAGGAAAGGAGTGCGGAAGGAAGAAGGCGTAGGACTTCTACGGACAGAATGTAACAAAGATGCCTTGCTAATAATGCCGGTGTTCCACCGATAAACACGGCAGTTGCTAATGATGATATTTCACAAAAGGAACTTCTGAGGCATCGCTGATGTGTCACAAATAATATAACGTTGACGTTATGTGATTTTCTGCAGTTTCGGTGATCTGACTGTCTATAGTATGGTAACGAGCTAATTACTACGACAACTATGCGTACATACTTTAAAAAGTATCGTGTGTAATATTAATAGTTATAGTTATGCGAGGCGATGGCTACGTAAAAAGGAAAAAAAAAACAAATCCAAGTTAGGGGAAAAAAAAGTTAAGCGGATCTCTATTATTATTCAAAAATTATTTAATTATTTATTTATTGTGACGTATAAACGAACTTGAATCTCTATTACTGGCGTACGAATGCGGACGTAATATTTGCCCTAATTTAATCGATGTAATATAAAAACGATCGAATGTAAATTTTACTTAGATTTTAATTTGTATATTAGAGGCGATAGAAAAAGAAAGGAGAGGGCATATATGAAAACGAAAAGTGTTCTTTGGCTTTCGGCAGCACATGCTTTCTTTTATTTGCATGCTGGCTACAGCAGCACTACGGTGCTTTCCTGTGATATAAAAAAAGACAAATGTTTCATGAATAGTAAATTATTAATTTCCTATCGTAAATTATGTGACCAGAGTTGACAGGTGCAAATAAAAAAGAAATCAAACTACCTTCGACAAAATCATGGCGATTAGATGTTCTTGTTTGAAAACACACAGACTTACGCTTGATGTAACAGCAGTTTGTCCGTGCCAAAGTGCTTCAATCAAAGAATATTGAACATTGAATATTACAGACATATTTAAAATCTATTTCTTTTGTATATTACAAAAAGTTATAGCGATTTTATCTATCTCTTTTTTAATCATACTTATTGATTCTCAGCCATATGCGTCGTTGTGTTAGAGAGCCAATATAATGAGATCTCTTAAGAGTTCTGTGCCATGGATCAGGTTACATTGAGTAATCCTGGTGCCTCAAAAGAAGAGAATGGACTTTTTTTGAATAATCAGGTTTTCAGACTCCGTTTCGTTTATACTGTAAAATCACCATAAAACTGTATATTATACAATTAATAACTATACACGCAGTTTAAAAATTGTAGATATTTTTCATCGATGCAAAGTTATACAATGTGATGCAATGATTTTGTTCATGTAGATATCGCGAAGTATAAAAGAGGATTTTGTGTGAATAGGTTTTTTCTAAAATTGATTCTTTGTAAAAGGATCTAATAATCATAGTTTCTATCAATCTTGTTGTTTTCAGTATCTTTACCAACCCTATGAGACTTATTAAAACAGAAAGATGGAAAAAAAAATATTCTGAAGCAAAAATCTGTTATAATTAATACAGCCTAATGTATATTTCTCTCAAATTTTTGGTAAAAAAAATCTTGGGTTTTCTATTTCTTGTATAGCATTACTAAGAAAATATCTGTGTGTAATTTTTTTTAAATGTACGTCATCTGTTCTTATCTTGTATAAAAAAAATTATTTCATATAATCAACTAAATCTCATAATTAATTTCTGGCATGCGAGATATATTTAAAAGATGTATATATATATAGCTGATTAGAATTAACTGAATATATGTATTAATGTCAATTTTTGAAAAAGAAAAATATATTAAATCTGTTTCGAAAGTTTTCTTTATTTTATAGTAGTAATATCAATGATGTAGATATAATAATTTAAAACTTAAGTTGTAACATTTAAAAATAGACAGCATAAATTTAAAAAAAATTACTTTCTTAGTAATGCTATATGAAATGTTGTTCTTGGTGAGATGCTACATAAAAATAACAATTAAAAACTCTGAAAGAAATTTGAAAGAAATGATATTTATTAGGTTGCAATTTTAATAGAACAAATTTTTGTAGTATTGTTTTAGAATATTTGTCCTTTATTAAAATTTAAGATACTAATTAACTGTGAAATGCAATTATTACATGTTGCGATATTAATATATTTCAAAAATGGTGATTTCTGACTCGACAAGGTATGAAAATACTGCGATATTTAGTCTATGATGGTTATAAATCGACAAACGCATCTTATCAGCATTAGAAGTTATTTTTATCAATTCAATATTTCGTATATACAATGTTTAAGTCATGTTATACTAAAGAAGTAATGATTAGATTTGATTAATACAGATAAGATGTTTCATGGTAGTCCATCACCAATTCATATCGTCATAGGCATTTATAAATATCACAATATTTCGTATGTACAAGGTAAATAGAAAATTTTATCGAGAACTGCTTGTGCTCGATCTTGTGTAACGACGGTGCCGGTGCCGCGGATTACCCGGTGGACTCCGCGATCGAGTTCTTATTCTGCGTCGCGGCGGTCGTGGACTTCTGCGGCGATTCATGGGCGGTGAACGCCTGCGATATCTCGGCGGCGTGTTTCTGCCACCGCCTCCCCACCGTGGTGGCACACGTCTTCCCATGCCGGGCGACATGCGTCGCATCGGCAATGGTCGAGGTTTCGGCAATAATACTGGTGCAGCAGTGATTTCTTGCCCGTCAATTTGTCCTGCGAATCAGATCGATGCGGAATGCACATTAACATGACATTTAAGTAAACAGAGTGATGTCCGATATGAATTGCGGCTCTTACCTCCATCCATATGTTTCATGGCATTCTCAGCTTCATCTGCAGTTTCAAATTCGACATATGCAAATCCTCTTCCCTGATTCGGATGGAGCTTGTCCATCGCAAAGTCAACCATCTTTATCTGTCCGTACGCCGAAAATATTTCCGATATGTGCTCTTTAGTGACATTACGTGTTAGATGGCCAATATGTATTTTTGTTGGCCTAAGAAGTGGTGAGCGTTCTTTACGCTTTCTACGTGGAGACGTAGACCTACAAAATCAGTAAAAAAAAGTTAGTTAGAAATTTGCTAATTAATTTAAAAAATAGTGATTTTTACAATGAACATACCTGGATCTCCCTTTAGGTTTAGGTTTTTCAGGAACAGAATTGCTGCCCTTCTTCTTTTCCTTCTCACGATCTCTGTCTCTGTCGCGATCTCTGTCTCTTTCTCGTTCTTTATCTCTCTCTTTTTCCTTGTTATCATGTCTTCGAGAGGCGTCAACACTTTTGCTACGACTACGTAGCGCAAATACTTTCTTCCTTCCTCTGTCTCTAGAACTACCTGAAGAGCTTGCTGAACTACTGGATGAGCTACTGGAAGATGAACTGGATCTAGAGCTGCTTCCGCTGCTACTACTCGAAGATCCAGAACTGCTGTCTGATGAGCTATCAAACAAAACAAAATTTAAGTGGATAATTTAACAGGATAATTAAGTGATGCATATAAACTTTTATTATATTTCCAAATTTTTATTAAACCAACCTGCTGCCACTGCTGGAAGAAGACGCCGCCCGTTTCTTCCGTTCGCGCTCCCTGCCTCTTTCCTTCTTATTCTCCTTATCCGTAGCCTCGGAGTCACTCTTACCCGTACTGTCTTTCCGGCTGCGAGCCCTAAACACAAACGGCATGTATAGATGAAGGTTAAAGTCAAATTGTACTTGAAACAACTATCGATTACGCGTAATTGAATTACTTACATGATTAGCTGTGGTAACCGAGCTTCCCAACTCGAATGCTAGTCAGCACTCGAAAGAGAAGCGGGTCCCGAAAAAATTAGTGTACTAACGTCCGTTCTTCGTGGATACGCCAATAATGGCGGACTGCCGGGATATGAAACCGACGATAGTTTCAGTGGCGTTCCGTCGCAAGTAACGCGTTCGATGCGTACGAAATAACGTCGAACGATCGGACGAGAGATTGACAGCACAATGCTATCAATAACTATCAAATTATGATTGTAATATATATATCAAGCAAAGTACGTAAATGACGTAAATACAGTTACCGCTACTCACTGCTTGATCGTTACAATGGTCACAATGTAGTCGTACGCCATCTCGACTACAGCGTGCTAAATTATCAAAGCTTTTCAAGCCAATCAGCGTTCAACGTTACCGGAAATGTGCTAAAATTGTTTTAGAGTATATCCAGACAAATTTGCATAGCGCATAAGCATATACATATATATATATGTGTATATATATATATATATATATATATGAATGGATTGGTCCATAAAAAGATGCATAAGGAAATAAAGACATCACGTGTCTAAAAATAATCAACTGTTGTAGTAGTTTGGTTCATGATGTTCTTTAACGCTGAAATTGAGCATCGAGTGCACTGGTCGAATGTAAGCGTGAAAAGGCACCTTTATCACTGAAGGCGCAACTCGTTGCGCGACTCTGATGCAGATTGTCATCTAGTATACATGTAATACTTGTTGAAAATTTAAATGACATTTGAAATATCTTCCGCAGATAATAAAAAGATTGAAAAAGATTAATTGTTTTCATTTAATTTGTTGCTTTCTTTTGCGTTTGTTATTCTATTAAGTTTTGTAAAATATGACATCCACAGCGAGGTTTCAAGTTTCTATTGAACAATCACCGAAAAATTTTGGCGATATATATTCACATGATTTGCAAATGTATCAAAATTTTCCATTTGGAGAGATAACGTTAGATGCACTGAAGGAAATAAGTGAAACCAGGCTCAAAGGTTAATTCAACTTGTTTTATCAACTTGTTATGTTCATGATATGTAAATATCATGCTCGATGTTATCATGATTAATAATAATTACTTTTTTATAGTTCTTACTCTGGTAGAACGTATACATTTACAAAAAATGATACTATCTGTGTCACAACGCAAAGCTGCATTGATAAAAGAATTGCAGCAGAAAGAATTACATGAATTTGCAAATCTGATCAATAGTTCAGGATGTAAATCACATACAGATCTGAATATTCATGTTAGAAGGAGAGATCACATATCTCACTTTGTATTAAAGTCTACAGTTGCCTTCAATGTATTAAAAAAACGCTGGTTTTTCAAACAAGAAATGAGATTGTTTAAATGGAGATTTACTTCATTAGATAATGAGGGCATCAAACAGTTTATGCGTATTAATAATTTCGATTTTGAACCAGTTGGTTATTGCTTGTTGTGATATTAATTATGTAATGTATTTTTTCAAAACTGATTAACATTTTGTTATTTTCAGATCAGTCAAAGTGAAAAGGAGGATATTAAAGAATATCTACAGACATCTTCAAACAAGGATATCGATGACATGCAATTTTACAGAATACCCTTTTCTCATGTACCTAGTTTAATTAAAAAACGTAAAGTCTTTATTATGAATGGTGAAGCATTTGTACCTGAAGAAGAAATGGTATTTCTGTTTATACCATACTTTAGAAATATACTGATTTCAAGCTTTGAGGTAAGTACAAAATTGACCATTATAAATTTGTTGAATGGATATAACTGTGTCTCTTTTCTCTTTAGAATGCACGTGAGGCTAGAGCTAATATATACAATGATGAAAGATTTACGAATATCTTTGCAAGTTTAGAAAACAGTATTCATATTGAGAATACTATATTAGTACAAAAACAAGAAGTACAACAATATGTTTCACTTAATCAATTGGATAAGGTAAATATATACATATCATTTAATCAAATATAATTTTATTATTAACAATGATATATCTTGCAAAAATTAAGTATTAACTTGTTTTTCGTTGATTGGCGATTTTTCTTGCTGTAGCTTTCAGAGACCTCTTATCCTCTTTGTATGAGAGTGCTTCACAAAGCACTAAGGAAGAATCATCATCTCACTCATGGTGGTAGAGTACAGTACGGTTTATTTTTGAAGGGCATAGGAATTTCTTTGCCCGACGCAATGGCGTTTTGGAAAAATGAGTTCACACAAGTAATGGATGAAGCTACATTTAACAAAGAGCATAGCTATCAAATAAGATTTGCCTTTGGATGGGAAGGCAGTCGGCGAGATTATCAGCCTTTTACGTGTCTAAAAATTATGGAGTCAATTGTAGGACCTAGAGATTATCATGGATGTCCTTTTAAGCACATGCCTCTTGGTATACTCGAAGATGAACTTACCGATTGCGGTTTCAATGCGTTGGGTAAATATCAACATATTAATTTACTTAATCACAGAATGAATTTTATCTATTAACCAACTTTTGACAAATCAGAGAGATCAGCAATAACAAACTTATCGAGAGACGGCCAATATTCTGCAGCGTGTAACAAGTACTATGAAATTAAACATAATTGTTTTAACGACACCGTGTTTAAACATCCAAATGTATATTTTAATGAGAGTGTAAATCGCTATCATGGTAAGATTCATCTTATTATATATCAAATGCAATATGTATTTATTTATTTAATTTAAAATTGAATGTTTTAAAATTGAAGATCTGGATCTGGAAACAGAAAATGCATATTAATTATTATACAAGAATATATCTTGAAAAACTGGAACCATTGAGATTGTTGCAAGTAATATGATGTTTCATACATCAGCAGAGTGAGTGATAGCGATTTTTATACAGATTTCTGATTGTAATAAATAGTAATTTACTTACAAATAAAAAATTTGGAATAAAATGTTTCTTAAAATAAGCAAGCGATTGATTAATTAGCCAATTAGAGTTTGTTAATTATTAGCGATTGTGAGTTTTTAGCGACTTTACGGTTTGCCTTCATCTTAATTATACAAACGATCACGTAAATTTTTAACGTGGAAAAAATAAGAAGCTGTTTTCAATTTTGATGAAAATCATATAATTGCAATATTTTTAGTTTATTTAGTAGCTTATATATTAAAGGATTCAAATTTATATAAAGTAATGTGAGACGCGTGTAACAAAGTGCGTTCATGCAATAGCTTCGTTCTCAACTGGGATATAAATTCGTATACATTTTTCTCTTATGATCGGGTAATTGAATTTAACAATGCGGTTAATCCAATGATAATGTGACTTTTTTTCTTTCCTTTTTCTTTGTAACAAAATAACAGGCTTAACACAAAAACAGAAAATATATCACATCAAAAAATATTGCCACGATACAACACAATACAATTTACTATGTTCCATGATTTTTATTCTGTAGATTGCTGCGGCGCGATACGTAAGTACCGAATGGTATATGTATGTACATTCAAGTGGTAGAAGTAACGAGCAATATTTATGTACAAATACACCGAATTATAAACACTTAACACTCGCCATACCTTACACATTATTACCTTAGTCAATTCGTAATGTTGTACCGTTGTCTCGTTAAATGCTATTTTGAAGCAAGACTACATGATTGAAAGAGTACGGGAAATTTCTTTTTCTTTTTGGCACAGTCTGTTATCTTAATGAAAAACGAACCAAGTCCATTAAACGAATGGCCTAAATGCGGCTTATCGAGAGGTACGGAAGAAATGCTTATAATTCTCGTAATATTAGTTGCTGTAATCGAGCAATCAAATGCAAATTCCCTCAATCCGAAATATTCGATGTCTAAACGTTGTCGAAATGATATGTGCTGTGTGTAACATTAAGTCTCGCTCCATCGTAAATCGAATGCGCAGAATTGTATTTGACGCAGGCTGCGAAGCTGCGTCAAATCAGTGTAACCGGTATCGTTGGCATATTCCGTATGCAATATTTACACAAAATAGAGAAACCGTCATGCAATATACTTCAAAAGCGAGGTGTATCATAAATTTAACAGCAGCAATGGATGCAGCAATGAATTTATGCAATATATTACAATTCTTTTTTTTTCCATTTTAACAAAATCAAAATAGTTTTTATTTCACGTACGCGCGTATGAACAGCCACCCATGTGTACACTTTGAGAAACTAGGGCTGTATTTATTTCTTCACACTATTCTGAAAATGCACCCCCCCCCGCCCCCATTCACACGCATTACTTTTATACACTCATACTTTCTCTTTCACACATTCTCTTTTGCAAACCCTTTTATATAGAAATAAAATGTGTTAGTGGGCACATCGATAAAATCATCATTTATAACAAACAGGTCAAATTATAAAGTCTTGTATTTTTTTTTATCATTTACGTATAAATATTGTTAAATATGTATATTAAAAATTTGCTACATATTCCACGATTATTTTACACAGAATTTGTTATTCTATCCCGATAATGACTTAAGTTGGTTAAGTAACTCCTTTTTTTTCTCTTTCAATGGACACGACTCCTCTGATATTCGAAGAGCTAATAAGGACTCGACAATGATCCCCGATGCTCTCCTCTCATTTTATCAAATCATGTATCTTATTGGCGACGGAGATACATATTTAAAACGAAAACGAAAAAAAGACAACCGAAGGGATGACGTTGGATTAATATCGCATTCTATATGAGGGTGAGTCACGGTGTCATTGTATAAAAATCTAAACTGACCTTAAACGTGTACTAAAAAATATAATTGCTTCTGTCAAGCGAGAGGGCCGATTTATCGGTAAGGATTCCAATAAAGATCAACCTCTGTGCGCTCGGGATATACTTTCGTTGACGCCTCCGTGACTCGTTAATTCGGATCGTCAGTCGGACCGAATGCTGTTATTCTCAACGTAACGGACATACTTCGCTGCTACATGGAATCTATTGTTTACTCCATTCACAACGACTAAATTAATGATATTTACTGTTACGACAGGATACTCGCGTGTCATTGGTGCACCTTGCGTAAAATGCAAGTTCTCTACTGTCGTGTCGCACTGCAAGATTCCAGTGCCGAAGGAAGAATCGGAGAAACAAAGGCTTGTACAATTACTGCTTCGGTATGAATGCACAGTGAATTAAATTCCGGTTGCTAGTCAGCGGACGTATCGACTTGAGAGTGCTGTACGTACTGTCAATCGCGATACGCGCACACACACACACACACACACACACATCACTAACGACGAAATGTACACATCGCGCGTGTGTCGCGCTGATTTGCTGCAACAAGTCTGACGTTCGCATTGCAAGAATAACGGCGCGATCCCACGGCAACAAATGTAAAGCTTGAAGAATCAGCCGCGGGTTCGCGTTTCAATTGAACGCGTCCACGCGACGTCAAACGGGCGTAACTGCATTCGTTCGCGGAAGAATTCAGACGGATATCTCATAAGCGGCATACATTCTCTCTTCGTTAGAGCGTGAGACGCGCAGATTGCTCGGCGGCGCTCGTAGAATCTCCGTCCAGCCGCAGGATGGTGCGGAGACCGGAAAGCTGGGCTATACGGATATCTCGTAGTTCATATCGTACACGCTCGCCCGGTCCGGCGTCGGCGTCGTCGGTCTTTGCGATCGTGGATCGTTAGGCGCCGAGACCATCTCCATGGAATCGGTCATCTCGAGGGCTCTGACGAAAGACATCGGTCGGCGTCGCGCGTCCCCCGAGGTCGGCGTGGTGGGCGTCGCCATCGTGGTCGCTTTCCGCTTAACTTGCGGCGACTGGTGCGGCTGATGCGGCGGGAAGACTGGCACTCCACCTCGTATCGCTGGATGATATGCTGCTCTGGGTGCGTTCATCGCGTACTGCGACTGCTGGGTCGGACTCGTGGGGTTGGAGCGGTAGTAGTCGTACGGCGGCGGTCGCTGCGACGGCGACTGATGCGGCGCGCCGCTCACCGCACCGCCGCCGGGCGGACCGGGATAGCTGCCGGGTGAGTTGTCCTTCCACATGTAGACGCCGCGTTGCGGCGAGCCCGCCAGCTCGCGTATGTTGTCGACGGTGTTGTTGGTCCTCGAGTACGGATGATCGGTGCCCTGTCGCACGAGCTCGCTCTCCGACAGGAAACGCCGCTGCGGACTGTAGCCGGTGATGCCGACGGGGCCGGTCACACCGACCCCTGTATTGTTTCCTTGCTGTACATCGTAATACGTCGGCGCGTCGCTCACGCCTATAAAATCCGGCCGACGAACCTGCGTCGGTGTACCCGGGTTTGATCTGTAACAGACACAGCGGACGTTAGGCCTGAAATCCTTCCGGGACGCAAGATGCTTTTGATAATCGACAAATGCACAGTACAGTGAACCAAGATGAATATGCGAGTGCTTGAGCATTGTAGCCATACAAATACGGCTCTGGCGAGACATACAGGAGAGAACAGCGCATCATTCCTGTTAAAAAATTAGCATCTATTCAAGAAACGTAAAAGATAGCGAACCTAGGAAATGTGTATGTGTGTGTGTGTGTGTGTGAGGTAGTATAATTTTTATAACCATGTTTTTCTATATATACAAAGATATATATGCAAGAAAGCATAATTGTAAACTACGGTATGTCCTCGTAGGATGAAGTTCGTGTTTACCTGCAGTAGGTTGCAACATGATGGTAGAAAGCAGCTCCTTGCAGTTACCACCCCCTGCAGTGGGACACAAACTTATCTATATACCATATATCTTGTAGTATGTACATGCAGAGAAACTAAATCCTCTACAATATTGTTGTAAGCTACATTGCGCAATTTTCCTTTTTGACACGTTCCTTTGTCTCATCCGGAAGGTGAGAACAGTGGTGACAGAAGAGAAGGAGAAAGAAGAGCAAGAGTGAGGTGTTTGAACGGTGAAGGGACAGGACGTTTTGACAAAAACAGGCCGACATCGTATCGAAGGGCAGCAAAGAGGATTACGTAAGAGGAATATCGTTCACTTTGTATCGGCAGCGTGCTCCAAAGATGCAATGTAACTATTACTAGTGTGGCGCTTCCCTCTTGCTCTCTACATTGAGATATAATTTTGTGCAATGTGAAAATCGCGATATATATATATAAGTATAATTAAAAGTAATACATCTGAAATTGTATACAAATATTCGAATACTTTAAGAGCCGATCAAATAAGCACTCGACTGAATTATTTTTGTATCGCATGTTAATGTGTTCGGATTATAATCAGAAGACACTTCTTTCCAGATATATATATCGAAGTACGTATATACTTTGTCTTCTTTTAGCAATGCATAAGTACGATGTACCTTCGTATAGGACTGGATATGGCAAGCGGAGTGGGCACTCCAATAGCTTTGATGCGTTGCTGCATCGTCGGACTGGCGCCACTCTGACTACGTTGAGGGACCGTGGCGGGCGAGCCACTCGTCTCCGGCGATAACGGGTCGGGCGTGTGACTTCGAGATCCATTCATCCCTCTGCCGACGTGAAAAACATGAGTGCTGGCGCGTTATACTTCTCATCCTTACATTTATATCGCATATGTACCTTGGCCTTGGATGCGGACTGCCTCTAGGATAATGTATTGGATGGCGGTGTTGCGACGGCGGAGGATGTCTGGGAGATTCATTGTTTTCCACAGGTGGCAGGAAGAAATTGCTTTTCGAACCGTGTCTTTGCAGCGGCGGCGTAGGCTCACAGTCCGCGGATTGAGACGCCGTTGGTTCCATGTCCGTGTCCGATCCGTCTCGTCCGGGAGATAACTGTAAAGAATTAGCGAATTATTGAAACAACGCGGAGAGGAAATGTGTAAATTGATTGTAATATTTGTAATACATTACATTATATTTCCTATGAATATTGGGATCAGTTTAGAATGGATGGGATATGCGCAAACTATGGGAAATCAGTAAAGACATCTTAGGACTCTGGATTGAACGGTACTGATAGATGCTGTATCATCGTTGAAACTCGTACTCTACAGGTATCGTATGAAGGACTTAAACGTTTGCATTAATTTTTGTAGTATTAATTAAAAAACACTAACCTACAATACTAAAAGGCTAATATTAAGGGCACGATATTGCTTGCGAGTACATTTACTATAACAACAGTAACACTATCTACCACTAGTCGTGCTGTACATGCTAAAAAACTGCATTATAAGCGGAAAAAAGTGCTTAGGATATTATAGGTATACTATTTTCTTCATTCAAGCCATTCCTTCGTTAAAGAACTCGTCAGTGTGTCTGTAATTTTGCTGATAAATGGTAAGAAAAATAATACAAATCATAATAATACAAGCTTATGTCCAAGCATTAGATTCTGAATTTCTGAAGTTTCATACAGAAAGGAAGAAGAAGACAAGCGAAACTGCGCTAGCTCTTACCTTATTGTAAGCATTTGAACTGGCATTTCTAACACCATTGCTGCTATCCATGTAGGTCTTTACCTGGTTCTCACTGCCTATAGTAGATATCTCTGATGCGCAAGCTCCACGTCGCTTCCCTGAATACTTTTCAGGCTTAAGTAAACTGTAAAATATATAGAGCACGCATTATGACAAAGTAATCTCTGCGGGAAAAATTAATTATACAATACCTTGCTTCCTTGCAATACCTTGGGTATTGTGGTCCAAATTGTGTGTAACAGCAGTTGTGTAGAAAACCTCGAGAAAAAGGATTGTAGCCCCCGTTAAATTTGCCTGTTACCTGTTCATTAGTGGTTCGTCCTCTAGAAACAAGGACTACATGAAAGCCCGTCAGTCCAAAGATTGGAATGAATAAGAGCACTATCACTCCCATGAGCACGAGTCTGTATCAAGGTTAAGGATAAATCACAAAAAAAAATCAACCCGTTAGATTCAAAATTTCCGTCATATGCAGTTGCAATATTTTATGAATATTTTGAAAATTAATCTTCTGTGTAAAGGATACGCGACAATAGTATTAACTTCACTCAGTTGTTGTTTATGCTGCAAGACATAGTACAGACAAAGTCCAAATATACAGAACATATGTATACTGAGTGACAGAAGAAAGAAGAAGAAATATCTGTAATTCCTCCTACCAATGCAGTTGTTTACCCATGGGCAGTGATGATCGAATGTCTAAAAATATACAACTTTGTTAAATTTGATTGATTTGAATTTATTTCAGTCAACATTGGCAGAGGGAAACATACCTCGATACAATGATTGCAGACACTGCAATGTGAGCAACGTGGAGGTCGATAAAACTTACAGGTGACACACCACTTCATACGCACTGTAATGCCATTGATCTCAACGCTCTTGTACAACGGAGCTCGAAAGTCATCTTCCCGATCTTCGTCAGGAGGTGCTTTAATAACAAAAAAATAACTAAATTGTTACATATTCATCACTTATCTATCATTTGGGGTTAACTCATGACAGATGCAGTAAATACACCTCGTTTTAAATCACCCATACCTTTCGGTATAACACCAGGGTCCATAAATGTCGCTAGAGAGAAGTTTATCACCACAAAGAAGGTGATGACTCCTTCCACAGCTGGCACCCACAACCCCCACTGGGAGACATAGTAGTTCGAGCATCTGCGTGAACAAATAACGGAGATGTAAACCGTGGCACTATCGGTGACGAGACAACGGAGAACTCCCCCGCGGAGATTCCGCTGTCGGTGCTCTCGCTGCGAGAACGCTCGACAGACGTAATCGCGCGAGGACAACTTACGGGAAAATGAAGAAGAGCGCCGTAGTGCCGAGTAGGACCGTCCACGCGAACGTAGCTGGTAGATACCTTGTCTTCACATCGCATTTCGGCATTCTGCACGCTCCACTTCGTGGTCCACGATTAGCGAATTATTAATGGACAGGATTTCTGCTAGCAGGAAACATGGCCGCGTCCATCGGGCGCTCGGCTTATTTGCAATTCGTACGTTAAGTGCCGAGCACGGGTGCGCATTCTAGCTGCCGTCCGGGCGTCTGCGACACATCGCCGATCGGTCCCGGTCCGTCACTCGTACGTCATTCCGGCAAAAACATCCGTGGCGTTATTAATATTTAACAGCTCCCGCATATACGAATCTGAGCGACGAGCACACCACCTCGATGACATACATATATAGCATGCATACGATGTCTCTCGCTCACTCGCTGAATCTCGCGCGGCAGCGCGCGTGTCACCTCCACTCCTCTCTTTCTCTCTCTCCACTCCACTCGCTACTCCGTGCAGTCAGAAAGGGGAACTACTAAGGTGTATCCAAACAAACTTGCATAACGCATAAGCATTTGTATAAAGAATTGGATTGGTCTGTTCCTTATGCATATGCTTATATGCTTATATGCAAGTTTATGTGGATATATCCTAACTTATAGAGAAACAATATTCTACGATTGGTCACATTGCATGATATATCTTCAGTCTACACTTCCGTTTGGCGGGCAAATTGCTAACAATAGTCAGTTGTCGAAGACACTGTGACATTGGTTGTTTATTCATTCTTTGCATAGAATCGAACAGAGTTGAGCAAGTATAGTTTAAAAATCAAAGTATTTATAAAAGTTGCGGTATTTAAAAGTCGAATAAAAGAGAAACATGCATGTGCTAAAGCGTGGTAACTTGAGAATTATATTCGTATATTATAATTTAATGTATTTTTACCTAATGTTATATCATTCATTAATTTCCTATCATTTTTATATCACTGGACATATATATGAAAATGTATATATCACGAGGGATTAAACTTCACATAATATATTTTTATTTTTAGACGGCCATAAGGAACCTGTTCATTTTGATAAAATAACTAAAAGAATTGAGATGCTATGTCATGGCTTGGATTTGAATTATGTGGACCCAGTAAGTATTTTATTTTTGTATATTTATATTGTATCTTCTTTTGTAAAGTAAGAATAAAATTGTATTTGATATTTTATGCTTACATTATTGTCATATTTTCTTGTAGGATTAATAAGTTTAATATATATTTAAGTATAATATATTTGAAGTTTTAGCAATTTATCATTCAAAAATATAATTTTTATGTTATAGTCTGCCATTGCGCTTCGTGTTATAACGAATTTATATTCTGGAGTAACAACAGTTGAATTGGATAACTTGGCGGCTAAAACTGCAATGCATATGAACAGTCAACATCCAGATTATGAAATTTTAGCAGCTAGAATTGCCATATCCAATTTGCATAAGGAGACAAAAAAGGTTTTTAGTGGTAAGATATTAGATGAATATTTCGTTGATTGTCAATGTGTAATTTCTTATTAATATCTTATGTCTTGCAGAGGTGATTGATCATTTGTATTGTGCAAAGAACCCAGTAACGAATCAACGTTTACCTTTAATCAGTAATAAATATTATAATATTGTTCAAAGCAATGCGGATAAATTGAATTCTGCAATAATATATGATAGAGATTTTAAATACAGTTATACTACATTTAAAATGCTTGAGAGTTATTTGTTAACATTAAATGGAAAGATTGTTGAAAGACCACAACATATGTTGATGCGAGTTGCTGTAGCTATTCATGAGGAAGATGTCGATAAGGCTATTGAAACTTATAATCTTATGTCACAACAATATTTCATACACTCTATACAAACGATAGAGACTGCATGTAACGTTAAGCAACAAATGGCTAAGTAAATATTTTTCTAAACCGACTTGGTAGGAGTTTCAACATATTACTGAATAAGCGATATTTTTACAGTTCCTTTCTTCTGACAATGGCTGGAGATAGTATAGATGGAATATTGGATTCACTAGAAAGAACTGCTGTTCTTTTTCATTATAATGGTGAAATAGGATTTAATGTGCATTGCATTCGGGCAAAGAATACACCTATCAGAGGCACAGGAGGTGTATCAAATGGATTGGTGCCAATGTTAAAAGCGTACGATACATCTCTCGGAACCGTTTCTAGAAGAGTTTCTAAGAATGGAAACGTAGCTGCCACTTGCTACCACTCGCAGCCACTTGCTATATATTTAGAACCATGGCATGCCGACATCTATGAATTTTTGGATCTCAAAAGGAGTATCGGTTAATATCTTTTGCTGCTACTTTTTTTTTCTTTATATTTTTAGATAACTACATGTATATTCGAACAATCATTGCAGGTGAGGAGCAATTGAGGGCTAGAGACATGTATTACGCATTATGGATGCCAGATTTATTTATGAAACGTTTGTTTGATAATGCTACTTGGAGTTTGATGTGTCCACATGAATGCCCCGGATTAGTCGACGCCTACGGTGATGAATTTGAAAATTTATATACTAGGTAATTAATTTCATATAGTAATCCTGAATATTACTGAAAAATTAAGTTGAAGCTCATAATTTAGAAAAAAATCTATATTTATGTTCAGATATGAAAAAGAAGGACGTTATCGAAAACAAGTTAAGGCCAAGGACTTGTGGGATCTTATCATTCAAATACAATTGGATTCGAGCATACGCGGGAAAGTACCATATATAATTTATAAAGATCACTGCAATCGCAAGTCAAATCATCAACATTTGGGCACAATCAAATGCAGCGGTTTTTCGCCAGAGATTGTTCAATATTCAAGTTCAGATGAAATTGCAGTGTGTAATACAGCTTCAATTGCTGTCAATATGTTCGTAAATTCTACTAAAAAAGCTTTCGATTTTTGCAAGCTCAAAGAGGTGGTGAAAATCGTCACCTACAATTTGGATAAAATGATCGATAAAAATTTTTACCCTCTCCACGAAGCAAAAGTGTCTTCTCACAAACACAGATCTATAGGTAAGCATATATTTTTATATAATGTATGTATATTACATGAATTAGTTACCAAATTTTTTTCTTTAATAATATAGGTATCGGTATACAAGGATTAGCGGATGCGTTCATCTTAATGAGATATCCGTTCGACAGCAAGGAAGCTAATAAGCTCAATGTTCAAATCTTTGAGACACTCTATTACGGGGCTCTAGAAGCTAGTTGTGAAATAGCTATTGAGAAAGGTTCTCATGAGTCGTACGAAGGCAGTCCAGTCAGCAGAGGGGTAAATATTCAAATTAAGAATATTATTGTTTTTTGGAGTAAGAATATTTACAAATTATACAATTATAATTCTTTACAGATCTTGCAATACGATATGTGGAACG